GTAATGCTGATTCAATTATCTGCTTCTCTGAACTCCAACTAGAATAGACTCCCCTGCTACTTTTTTTTTTTTTTTTTAATCACAGGGAGCCTTCTAGTAAAAATAACCCTGAGCTACTCCCAGAGTTTCTCATGTCATCCACCCTTGACTCAGACTCTTGGGTTCTTCATCAGGCATTCTGCTGAGATTCAGTCCAATACTCTCTTTCCAGTCCTAAAGTGCTCTGAGTATAAATAGTGTGCACAGAAAAATAAATAGATCCATTTCTCTAAACCATCTACCACAAAAGGCTCCTCCTAACTCCTCCCAAGCAAATAGTTGGTTATTTTAAACCTAGGTTCTCATTAGATCTCCATCTTTCATCTTTCAGTCATTTTAAACTCATCTGGATTGTTTCTATTTTAAAGGAACACCCACTACCAGGAAATCTCATGGCAGGGAACATTCAAAGTCATTTTCAAGTTCAGTTCATAATCTTCCAGAGGTAGCATTCTGTACATCTTAAAATAGAGCACCTAACGTAATGGAGTTTTGCTGAAATGATTCCAGGGGATGGTAATAGATATTATAAAGACACCTTACATTTATAGAAGCTTGAATGGTTTTGAGAAGTGCTGTCATATGCTCTCTTTTGTTCATTACCACGAGTCTCTGTGGTAGGGAGGCAGGGATTACTGCTGCCATGGCTCAGGGCACAGGCTCTGGTGCCTCTCTTCAAGCCTCATTTTCCCTGTCTGTAAAATGAAGAAGATAATACTAACATTTGCCTTGCAGGGTTGGGGAGGTGGTGACCCAAGGACTTTCTTTTTCCTTTTAAGGAAGGTGTAAGCAGACACATCCATGAAAACTTCCACCACTCTCTGTCCCTATGTCAGTATGACCCAGGTACAAAAGGAAGTCTTCTAGAAAAAGGTTTTCCTTCAGAATTATGAAGACCAAAATGGCTTTCTGCAAACCAATGAATGACACTAGGAACCTAAGAAAATTAGGAGACTGGACATAAGAAACAAGAACAAAAGGTTCAATGAGGTCCCAGCTAACTTTGGAGGAGACAGAGCCACACCCAGGTTTGGCAACCTCTCTGCATGTTCAGGGTGTGGCGTGGAAATTCTGTCCTCAATTGCTGTTATTATTTTTATCTCTCTTGACTCACTGAAGTGCTTTAGTAGGACGGCATAGAGCCTGAGCTCAAACCCCCTTAAGTCTTTGAACAAATTTAAATCTTATAGCCCCCAACTCAGCAAGGACATCACAGGGAGGCTGTTACTGAGCACCCTGTTCTGGTGGCCCTGTCCCCCCAGCAGATCAACCTTTAGATTGTTCAAGCCCCTAACCTCCTTGGCCTAACGTCTACCCCTATCTCCTCCTGTGGGGTTGCAAGTCTGTTGCGCTCAGGGTGCTGCTCACACAGTATCCAGGGCGAGGCACAGCTGCCTGGCAGGAGGCTGCCCAAAATATTTGAAGTAAATTGTAAGTCTCTGATTGGCAAAGTTTATAACTCACTATGTTGGTGAGGGTGTGTGGAAACAGGCAGATGTGCTGCTTGTGGCAGGAGCCATCTCAATGGGAGGCAAGATATCAAAATTGAACACTCACATGCCACTGGACCCAGCAAGTTCCACAACAGAAAGAGTTAGTGACTCATGCCGAGTACCATATACTAACTCATTTAGCTCTTACAAACCCTCTGAGATAGGTGGTATCCCATTTTACAGATGAGAAGGTTGAAACAAAGAGCTGTTAAAATATTTATCTAAGGTTATCCAGTAAGCAAGAATCCAGGCATTGCTGTTCATTGGTGAATGTGCCCACCTACTATACTATACCCTCTACAGTGCTATCCACTGAAGTATGATCTGCAACAGTGAAACAATCTAAATGCCCACCAGAAAGGAAAGATTGAATACACTGTGGCTATTCTGTACAAAGGATAATTAGACAGTTTTTTTTATTTAAAATGAAGTTGTGTGGAAGTTTACCTGTTATAATTTCCAAATATGAGATTTAATTAAAAAAAAGCAGAGCACAGGAAAATATGCCCTTATTCATGGGAAAATACTCATAATTATGCCTGTAAATACACAGTATAGCTCTAAAAGGGCATTTAAGAAATAAAACGGAACAAAACAAGTAGTTTTCCTGGGACAGAAAGCATGCGGGAGGGTAGACACTTTTCAATGTATATCTTTGAATTCTGTACTATGTACATGGATTACTTTTTGGAAAAGGGAACTTAATTGAAGGAAATTTCAGTACCTGCAAATTGCATAATAGTTACCTAAATGAAAACACAGCACATGTTTAATTCTATTCTAAATGTACACATCGCTTTAAAGTTATTTGTTTATGAATATTTATCTAGTATTCAACTCAGAGGCTGGTACATCCCAAGTATTCCACAAATGGCCCTGGAATGAATGAGTAATGTGCATATTGTATTGAATCAAGCAGGCCTTGGATTTGTTAAGGTCCCTCCTGCAACTCTGTGTAGGAGGAATCTACACTTCTCTCTAGACACTGAGCTCAGCAAGGGACCAGATGAGGGCTGCTCTCATGGTTCAGCAGCCCAAGGTCCTTTACATGCACGTGTGTCTTGGGCTTCCCCAGGATTTGCTGTTTCAGTGCAGCATTAGTTTTCCAATGGAGGTAATTTTGCCCCTGGAGACATCTGGCCATATCTAGGGTAATTTCTGGTTGAGTCAGTTTGTTAGGGGTGGGGATCTACTAGCATCTGGTGAGTAGAGACCAGGAATGCTGCTAAATACTCTACAATGCACAGCACAGCACCCACGCCCAAGAATGATCCACTACGAAAAGGCAAGTGCTAAAGCTGAGAGGCCCCAAGCTGCAGTGACAGTGCTGGCTCATGGACAGTGAGACCCTTGATCAGCAGCCCTGGAATATACCCAGAGCGTTCACGTGTTTGTGCTCCCTCCTAAAAACACAGCCTGCCATCCAGCCTTCCTGGGCTGCCCTTGTGTTCACTCTCCAGCATACCGCCCTTGCTTTAAATATAATCTCATCAGTGAGGCCCCAGCCAACTCTGGCCCCTCCTCCTGCAGCAGTCATTTTGAGGAGCTAAGAGATACTAGAATATTTGAGAAACAACTTTTCTGAGAAATCCCACACAAAGCAGTGCAAAGTTCAGCTGTCCCTGGAGCCAGGAAGTTATGTCTTGAACGCTAGCTCAGGAGGCTGGGTCTTAAGAAATGGAAAGAGAATGAAAATATCTGCATGTTTCTCAGGCAGAAGGATGGCGACGGACTCAGTTCAGGAAGGGAACACTACTGCCAAAGAAGATGCCTATGTTCCTTGAGGCTTTTCCTCCAGGCTCACACAGGGATGAGGACGCTACTGAAGGACTCTCCTCCAGTTTAGTGTCAGAAGGAACCCCAGGGAGTCCTGGCCACTCTCCTTAACCCGGAGACACACAGTTGGGGGCTATTGTATCTGAAAGGCATACTGGTTGTATTATCTCTCTTGCAGTGAGATGGGGGCAAGAGTCAGTAGTCCTGGCTCAACTCTTTATCTCTAGTGACAAAGGAAAGTCACCTAACTACTCACCTTTGGTTCCCCCTATGTAAAATGGGTACACTGCAGGTTTGTTGTAAAACTCCAACGAAATTATGGATGGGAACAGTGTCCTATTACTGACCAGTTCCCATATAAATATTAATTATTATCAAATCTACGTGCATTATATTTTTGGCTCACTTCTTCCCTGGTGAGTAAGTGGTTGCGTAGGGATCATCCCAGGAGGGCATGCCATGGGGACTGTCATAGGACTGTGCCTGAGCCCTGCAAGACTGGGGTCAGTGGTGAGGAATTACATTTCCTAAGGACACTGAGCTGTACAGACATGGGTGATTAAGAGATCCAGGGGGCTAACATGGGAAGATTCAGACTCAGCTACGTTAGTGTCTTCCTACCTAAAGTCTGAAATGGACTGAACTTTTGGGGAAGCAATAAAATAAGTAAAATTTAAGGCAGTGTTTTTTTTTTTTATGACTTGTACTATCAAAATGGGAACCAAAAGGGTTATTTAAGCCAGGATACTCAAACACCAACTTTGAGGGGACTATTTACGTCTCTGACATCACACAATGGATGTCAGTGAGTGTCCATGAAGCATCTGTTGTGGATTGAGTTATGCCCCCAAGAAGATATGAAGTCCTAAGTCCTGATACATGTGAATGTGACCTTATTTGGGTACAGTCTATTTGGATATAATACATTAAGATGAGGTTGTACTGGATTAAGGTGGGTCCTGGATCCAATGATTGATGTCCCTATAAGAAAGAAGAAGACCCAGTTGTATAGGAAAGGAGGCCATGAGGCCATTGATGACAGGCAGAGATTGGAGGGCTGGGTTTGCCAGCCAAGGAGCACCGAGGATTGCCAGCAGCCAGCTTCCAGGAGGTGGGGGAGATGCCTGGGTCAAGCAACCGTCATAGCTTCTGGGGAAACCAACTCTAACACCTTGATTTCAGTTGTCTGGTGTCCAGAACCAGGAGAAAGAAACTTTCTACTGTTTGGGTCAACAAATATGTGGTGATTCATTATGGAAGTTCTAGGAAAATAACAGCTCACCATGAACAGGACATTCAGAAGCCAGTTTCTACCATCCAGAAGCTTCTCTGAAAGGCACCTTCACATGGGAAGGCTATGGTGAGAGTAGACGGGATCCAGGATGTTGGGGTTGGTGGAGAGAAGCTGTTATTGCGGTTAATGTTGGGCAAAGTCAAAGGCCCCTCCTATCTGCCAGGCAGACTGCTCTCAGACAACATTAATCTGACCAGCCTTTTTCTTTTTTAGGCCACAAAGATAATTACTCAGAACTCTATTTCCTTCATGGTTTTTGCAAATGGATTTTGTGGTGACTTCCCTACCCCCCAGGCACTTGGCAGTGCTGAGAGGGGACATGCAGCCCAATATCTTCAGCATGGGTCACTGAGGATGTGGAAATATCCTTAACTATGACAGAAAAAACTAAAGGTTACCTGGGTCTCCAAAATACTGCAGTGCTGGCAGTCAGATTCCTGGGGGCTTTCCTCTGCTCTTCGGGGAGTTACCTTGTGCTGTTGGATAAACTCTTCCAGCCTTAAAACCTGAAATGGAAGACAAGAAACACGAGGTGATGAAATGAAGTCCTCCCACCTGCATATGGTTATTAATTTTGGAATCAATTCTGAATCTCTATGTTGTGGCCCAGGTGTCCCATTCAGAATAACTGGGCTGGTCTCATATGCATATATGAAGCCACCTCAAGACCAGCAGGGTAAAGTAGCCCAGGTATAATATGAAGATTGGCATCAGGGCTCAACAGGAGGGAGGAAGTAAAAAACAGGAGTGAGCAGTAGCAGGAAGGGAGGGAAGGGGGAGAAATGGGCCTCTTTTCCTTGCAGCTTCTCCTTAGCCTAGGTTAGGATAGAAGCCTCTTTACAGAGACTTTTCACCACAACCCATTGCTTGATAGTCTCAGGCATGGCATGCTCATTATGAGGTTTCTTATTTAAATGATAATTTCAGAAATATTTTTTAAAAAGCTAGAGAAGAATATAATCAACACCATATGCTCATGGCTCAGTTGAAGAAGTAAAAGCACAAACTGCAGTTGTGACCTCTTACATCTCCCTGATCCATCATCCTCCCCCACTTCTCCTCTGTCACCCTCATTCATTCTTTGGATTGACCTCCATGGATATGTACTTCTAAAGAATCTACATTCTTTTGCCCATGGCTTCTTTTATATAAGTTCCCTATGGTGCATGCTGGTCTAGCAAGTAAGAGACACTGCAACAAGAAAAGAGAAAGAAAAACAATTTTCCCAGAGGTTGTGGTGCATGGCCAGGGCTGAGGAACCAGTCTATGCCCCTGGGGATGGCAGGAGACAGATTTCATCTGGGATGGTGAGGGAGGGTAGAGAAAGAAAACCTCTTTCTATTTTTTTGGTCTAATCAGGCTCAGAAATGGCCCTAGAGACCAGGTTTTAAACCTCTTCTGCTCGTCCTTCAATACCTTTAAGGGCTCATAAAAACATTTTCATTTCTTTTAAAATCAGAGGAAAAAAAAACACAGCCTGGACTATTTCATCTTGCAATCAACACAATCATAAAGGATGAATTTTGTTCTTTATAAAGGAAGGCATCCAGGAAGGCACAGGTGCCTCGGGCCCACAGAAGCGATAATGGTGCCCTGGAGCTGGGGAGACTGCAGATGCGCCACTGCTGGCACTATTCAGCTACAGAGTGGGCCAGCTGCCTCCTGTGTCCTTCTTTTATGTGAGAAGTTACAGGCCTCTTTGTTTAAGCCTCTATAAATCAGGCTTCTGTTACTTGCAGTTAAATTTATGCCCCCAAGACAGTCTTCCTGGCCCAATGCCCTCTTCTTTGTTCTGAGGATATAAGGAGGTGGGGCCGGTTCTTGACACTCCTGGCGTCTCAGCCAGAAACTTCCAGGAGCCAAACCATCATCCCCAAGCATTCCATTTTGGGGGTTTACCTCAAGCAGAGAGTTCTGAAGCTTCACATTTAGGGCTGTTTTCTCTTCCTCCAGCTGCCTGATTTCCTTTTCTGATTTCTTCTTCACCTCTTCCAACTGTGCTTCTACTTCCTACGCAGTGATTAGAAGGATATTAGCTACCCCAGGCATGAAAATAGGACCCTTACTTGTCCACACCCTGACGTATTTCCAAGGGGATCAAAGAAGGTTAGTTAGAAAACACTGTCAGAACATGAACCAGAAGTGTACAAGAGGTCAAAAGGAAACATGCCTTGAATCGTATCAAAATGTATGATACATTTGAGGGTGGGCTAAGATGGGGTAGACACTTGATTATTTTCTAGCATCAAATAAGAAAAGAAAATGTTCATTGCTAACAAAAGTCTCAGTATCGCATAAGTCAAAAATCCAACTGCATTCTCAGATGAGGGGAAATGTTAAAAGTAAAACAGAATCTCTCCATCTCAACAGTATCCGATTCATACATTCAGTATTCGATCTCAACAGTATTTGATTCATATATTGGTCAGAATGATGGGTTCACAGGGCTGACTCCCAGGTGATCCCTCCCGACAGCCTGTGAGCCTCAGTACAGATTGGATCCAGATGAAGGGAAATTCTGGATGAATGTCACCACCCATCTTAGCATATTCTTACCTTGTTGTGACTTGCTGTGTTACTTACATGCTGAGCAGTAAGTGCTCACAGGCAGTGAGCACCAGCTCTGGCCAGCTGGAGCCTACCATGCCAGCATGACCCAGAGGCACAGTGAGCCAGGACTAAGGCTAGGCAGGGTGTGCCGACCTGTTACACTGGGAACAGCCTGGGACAGAGGCCTGCTTCACACACTGTTGCAGCCCAGAACCCCCAAGCATTCATGATCAGACTTCAACCTCCTGTTTTCCAAGAAGCAGTAGGAAAATGGAAGTGGAGCAAATCTGAACGGGATCGCAGGACTAACCAATAGCATGGGCACTTTTCCAAACCTGATTAGCATAGATTCAAACTGATAGCATTTTCCCAAGTGCTAAATAAACCCCTAGATTAACACACTCAAGCAGCAACCCCTATTGGGTTCCCTCCTACCCTGTGAGAGTTGTCTCTTTTCTTCCCATACAAATAAATCCTACTCTTTTGCACTCACTCTTCCTTGTTCATGGATTTCATTCTTTAAATTCATCCAAAAAGAACTTGGAAAGAAGTTGATGGAAAGCTTCTGGGATCTGCTGCACCACTGGAGGGCATAGCCTGCCACTAAGAGCTGCAACATACCTGTTAGGGTAGTGAAGGAGAATCGGGCTTTGCTGGTTGCCACCCTCAGAGCTGAGACCAGCAGATCTTCCCTGACCTGATTAGCTGCTAACAGCATACCAGACTTTCTTGGCTGCAGAGGCCTACAGTTATGAAGACCCCAGAAGCTCACTTCCGATTTTTTTCCAGGTTCTTGTCTTATGAATTCAAAGAATTAAATACACAAGATGAGGAAGAGCGAGTGCAAAAGAGTAGGATTTATTCATGTGGTAAGAAAAGAAACAGAGCTCTTAGAGGACTAGAGGAAACCCAACAGGGGTTGCCACTTGTTTGTTTAGGGGTTTATATGGCACTTGGGTCAACACTATTGGTCCAAATTTATGCTAACAGAGTTTGGAAACTATCATTGCTATTGGTCCACATTTATGCCAATCAGGATTTGGAAAAGTATCAACACTGTTGGTTAGCCCTGCAATCCCATTTAGGTTCGGTCCACTTCTGTTTTCCCACTACTCCTTGGGAAGCAGGAGGTTGAGGTTTTTGGATTGTGGATGCTTGGGGTTCTGGGCTATGGCACTATGTGGAGTGGCATCTGCCCCTGGATGCTGCCAGTGTGACAGGTCAGCAAACCCTGGCTTGCCTCAGCTTGGCTCACTGTGCCTCAGGCCCACGCTGGCACAGTGGCTCACATAGTCACAGTCAGTGCTTGCCAAAGCTGCCCCAGCTGGCTCAGACCAACACTCCACTGCTCCAGGACAAGGGCTTAGATTCGCTATCAGGTGCAAGGCACGTTCTTGGAGTAAAAAGGAAGCAAAGTTCCTATGAGCCAAGGAGCTTAAATTTAAGTGAAAAAAAAAAGTCAATAAGTACAGTATGCCAAACACTATGTTGGATGGAGAAATAAAAAAAGCAGGGAAAGGCTGGGAACAAAATTGAGCAAATTATATTGTTATTGTGTGTATGTAAGAGTACGTAACAACAAACCCCATTATTATATATAATTATAATGCATCAATTAAAAAAATAAAGTAGGGAAGGAACTATGCAGTATTGGGGAGGGGTTAAAATTTAGATAATTTGGTCAGAGAAAGTGACTTTTGAGTAAAATCCTGTGTTACTGAAATGCTAGTCAAGTAGATGTCTGGGTGTGAGCTTTGCAGGACCTGCCAAGACCCTGGCACGTTCTCAGGACAGAGGGGAAGGCCACTATGGCTGGACTGGAGAGAAGGAGGGGGAAAGTGGTAGGGGATGAAGTTAGAGGGACATCGTGCAAGGCCTTACATATCTTGGTAAGATTTACAAGAAAAATGAAGACCATGCAATATCTGGGCAGAGGAGTGACATGGTTCAAATTATATTTAACCAGATCACTGCTGGTTTCTCTCCCAGGGTCACACTGATGAAGAGGGTAGTATGGGGAGAGCAGCAGGGGCAGTGGGAAGGCAGCAGGGAGGCTGCTGTAATAACTGAGGGGACAGCTGGTGGTGCCTGGACCCATGGCCCCAGGGTGGGTAGTGGGCAGTGGCAGAGCTCCAGGTAGATTTGAAATGCAGAGTGACAGGACCTGCTGAAAAGAGAGGCACCTGCCATAGTTTGTACCAGGAATGTTCCCCAAAGGCCCACGGGTTAAAGACTTAGTACTCAGCTGGGCTTTATTGGGAGGTGGTGGAAACTTAAGAGATGGGGTCTGTGGGAAGTCCTTAGGTCACTGGGGACATGGCCCTGAGAGGGATTGTGGGACCCTAGCCCTCCCCTTCCTCTCTCTCACTTCCAGCTATGTGGTGAGCAGCTTGGTTCCACTAAGTGCTCCTGCCATGGTGTGCTGCCCCACTACAGCCTCAACACCATGAGCCAAAATAAATCTTCTCTTTTTATAGGTTGACTACCTGAGATATTTTGATATGGTAACACAAAGCTGGCTAACACTGCATCAAAGAGGACACCACTGGTTTTGACCTGAGCAAGGGGAGAATGGTGTATCCATGGACTAAGATGGAGAACAAGAGAGAAGGAGAAGGTTTGGAGAGTCTGAAGAGTTTGCTTGCATGTGTTCAGTTTGAGACATTTGCTAGATATCAAAGTAGATAGTTGGATATACAGGTCTATGTTACGAGGAGAGTTCTAAGTTGGCTGTACATTCAGGAGTAAAGCGTCTGTTTGGAGGAGAAGAGCTAGAGAGAGAACATAACGGAAAGTACAAGAGGTTTAATAAGGTTTAAGAACTAAGCCCAGGGTCACCCCAGCATTTCCTATGAATCTGAGGCTATGGTATCTGACAGCAGCTCTTCTATGCTGCCAATTGATTATGGACCTTTATGAGTTAATTTAGGATAGATAGACACAGTAATTGTGGCTGACATTTACTGAATGCATATATTTAGTGGGCACTTTACAGATGATCTATCCTGTTTTAGGTTCTACTACTAAAGTTTATTATAAAGATATAAAATGGAGCTTAGAGATGTTAAATGACTTGCCCAAGGTCATGCAGTCAGTAAATTTAGAAGTCAAGATTTGAACTTGGGAAAGGCTTGCTTGGCTGTGCTTCTTTCCTGATTTCTTATGGAAAATGTGGCACCCAGTATAGAGATATGCCCAAATGAAAGGTTTTTTGATTCCAGAGAAGCTGAGAGGGTTCCCAGAGGCAGGACCCTGATGCTTCCCAAAGCAGGGTGGAGAAGCTGCTTGAACTGGACTCTATTCTGTTTCATAGCGGTGAAGGGCATTTGAGCCAAAATACAGGAAACTGTGGGCAAAAGTCTGTATAACTGGGGCTGCTCTGGGATCAAACGGAAACCTGTCATTTATTCATTCAGCTAACCACTCTTAACCGAATAGCTACCATATGCCAATTACCATGATAAAGGGCTAGGGATAAGGTCAGTGTGTTCAGATAAATGACTAACAATTGGCTTTCTAAACAAATAAAAATAAAAACAAATCATTGCATTTGGTGATTCTCATTATGAGTCCTACTACTGTGGCCAATGTCAAATTACTGCAATGACCTTACTGAACACAAAGTTGGGACCAGATATGACAACTTCCTTTCATGATCCATTGTTACCTGTCTTCCACACACTGCTGGACATAGTCATGAACAACACATCTCAGTGAAAAATGCACTGTGAACAGCAATTAAGTACTGCCATTACAGCTTTTATGGATTAATAAATGAAGACAGTGTGATAAGAGCTATGCTAATGGAGGGGCAGGGGTGCCATGCAGGAGACCCCAGTAGCACTAGGCTGGACAGGGAAGACTTGTAGAAAGATTTATATTTAAACTGGGAATATTAGATTACTGAGATCAGTAGGTCAATAAGTACTAGACAGGTGAATTTGGGAGTGGGAAGATAAAGCCTTGAATAAAGGCCCAGAGGGAAAGAACATGGAATGAATGAAGGCTGGAGTAGAGAGGTGTGGAATGAGGCAGGGGAGGCCAACAGGAGCCTGTCTCTGGGGGGTCTTATAAACCATATTAAGGAACTGGAACTCTACTGTGGAAATGATAGGGAGTTGTTGAATCGCCGAGACCAAGGGTGAGTTTTCAAAAGATTCTGCTGTGGGAGGAACAGACAAACTCTAGATAGGGCAGAGGGGCGGGAAGGGAAGGAAGGGGGCAGGGGGTTAGCAAAATGGTGGAATGTGATGGACATCATTATCCAAAGTACATGTATGAAGACACGAGTTGATGTCAACATACTTAATATATAATCAGAGATATGAAAAATTTTGCTCTATATGTGTAATAAGAATTGTAATGCATTCCACTGTCATACATCAAATATTTTTAAAAATAAAAAATAAAAGATTCTGCTGGAATGGAGACTGGATTTCATGAAGTAGAGAACTGCAGAC